GGAAGGAACGAAAGCAGAGATACATCGCGTGCATATGCGAGTATGTATGTACACTCGCATATGCAGAAAAACACAAAGTAGTGCTGGGCTCTCACGCGCGGGTTGACCACCGCCCCGTAAGCTGACGAAGGGTTCGATGGGAGGCGCTGCAAAATCCATCATGGCGGTAGCTAAGAGCTGATCTCAGACTGGGAAGATATAATGGGAATGAGGAGAGGCGAGACAGTTAGACGACGGATTGTCAATAGTTTCTGCAATTCTATTCAATTCTGCGTCAATTTCTGCAATTGCACAACTTCTGGTCTTCTGAAGGCGAGGTTACCTCAGTCTTGGAAGCGACAGAACCATAGCCGTGAATGCCTCAGAGACTGAGCGGACTGTTGGATGTTTTGTACACTGCCAATGTGTGCCATATGCACACACAAGGGCGTTATTTTGGACTCAACGTATTCGAATAAAATTTTCGACAAAGAAGCCACGGTTACCCGATATTTAATATATCTTGCTGTGCGCCAAGAAACGGTTTCAAAGAAGTACCCACACATTGTGAGACATTATGTTTCAGCACAGAACAATGCCAAGAAATTGGCGACATTTCTTTCAGTCAACCTGACCTAACGATTTGCATTATCAGTAGCAAAAAAATTGTTTCAAAAGGATTCCGATGTTTCTGGAGTGATGGAACAAAGAAAAAAACTTCAGGAGTATGAAGGATGGATCCACCGAGAGAAGGAAATTTCAACAGAAGAAATTTTTAGAGGAAAAGATTTCCACAAACGCTTGAGTAATGTTTTGATAGCGTTTACATACTCCTGCTTTTCTAGCATTCTCAATGTTCTAACAGTTTTGAAAGAAGTTCCTGTCACTGAAGTCCAAAAAATCGCATTTCAAAAAAATGGCTCGGAGAGTGGTTTCCAAAGAAGCCCCAACTGAGCCAAATCCCAAATCGGTGACCTTCTGGACAAGATTTGGCTTTTTTTGTTTGAACCTTGATCTTTACCCTATTGGCTTCAGCTTTCCAGATTAATGAGTTTGAAGAAAGTTGTGACCATACGAAAATTGAAAACCATCGGTTGCAAAAAAAGCTCCACAAACACCCAAAAGCCCCAACAGAACTAATTTTGTATAAGGTTCCTGTGTTGTTGGTAAAAATCCGAGGTATGCGAGTTGTTGACTCGTACCCTTATCGACACTCAAACAAAATGTGACAAGTCTGTTTATTTATGCAACAAAAAAACAACAACAATGACAAAACTAGCGACTTGCACTAAACGTAATTAAACGACGGAAATAGAACAACACTTTGATAAAAAAAAATGTGCAGAGATTCTTCAGAAGAGAAACTACGCCCTGTCCTAGACGAAAATATAGCTTTCAACCTTCTTTTGGGGAGTAATAGGGCGAACGCTCAATGCAGATCCGTAACCAACCCAAAATGAGGGCGTGATCCCACTTCTGGGGATTCGACCAAGGAAAAAAAACAGAATAACTCTCTTCTGGAAGGGCTCCCGGGCGAAAACGAAGACGAATGAATTGAAAATGACGGGCGCTTCCTTTTACACCGCGATTCCCGCGAAGATGATATTTACTGCGAGCCGATATTTAGCTGTAGAGCGCCCTATGCTCATTATTAGATCCCCGCGGCACAGAAAGAGTGGTCCCTCACTCATCATTCGTTATCATTTTCTTTCGCTTAGAAGCAGCGCATACAAAGAAGTAACAACGTATTAAATATTTTTTCACGACATCAGTCCTTCCCCTTTTATTAATCCTTTTTACAATTGCTCTCAATGATGCCCAAACCCTTTTCTGGATCTGTGCGAATCCTTTTTACTCGATGGGTAAGAAAGTCGTCTGCATCACAGAACCGTTTTTTTTTCTTCGGTGTTCCACCGGTAACGACTCCCTTTTTTCGTTTCTCAGCAGCTGCAGCAGGCCATCCACTGTTCCTGATACTTTCAAACCATCTTTGTGGCATAAAATCCTATGTGTCCTTGAGTATCATAGTGCGCTGCCCAGCGATCTGTAGGTGTGATCCCACTCGCCAGGTTTGGCGTCCTGGAACAATCTGACATGGTTTGCCACGTTGTACTGGTTATCCACCATTGTTTACATTTTGACCTGTAAATTTGCGTCTATTTTTTCTCATGATCTTGTGTTTTATGCTCCATAGGAGGTGTTCCGATGGCCACTTTTATGTCATTCGATGCCACGACTTCCTGCCAGGGTGCGAGATGGTTGGCAATTTCGTCGACGTTGATCTCATCTGAGACAGTATTAAGCAATACATCGTAATTGAGCTCTATTTTTGGAAGCTTCGCGATACTGTATGCGACTGCAGTAATATTTCCATCGAGCAGCATGTTCATCTTGGAAAGACTTCGTGCATTCCATTTCTGGCCAACAATAAGCTTCTCCGCTGACAGTACCGCTAACCGAACATTCCTTCGTCAGTCAATGAATTGCATAATTGACGTCTTTATCTGGATAGGCTCGCTGGAGGTGCACACACTGTTTTATGAAATACAGCAATGCATGGTCATTGAAAACCATATGCAAAGGAGCGAAAAGAATGAAATACCAGAAAGGGTACAGTACCTGGGAAGGCTCACCTGTCGGAAAGCAGCGCATACACCGAAACGGACAGTGGGGCGAACAGGGGTGTTGTGTGACGAAGTGCATGGCGGGTGCGGTATCCGTAAGTTATAAAAGATCACATAATCTGTTCAAATTCAGCGTTTCAACGTTGGCACGAGCTTAAATCCACGCGCTAACAGTTGTGGGAAGTCACGGCTGAGATTCGAATTTTTATGGTGTGACTAGTTATCATAATTATTATCAAAAACAACGCTTATGTTTCTTTCTTTTTGCTATCAGGGGCACATGAGGGAACCACAGAACCTCGGTAGTTTTTCCTGAACGGCATCCCTGAGTACCAGAAAAAGGAGATCCCTAGTCACACCTTTTTCACCGTTTTTCAATCAAAGTCTTTGTGTAAGGGTTACTGACGGTCCTAATCATGAATATGGTACTAATTATTCATGCTAACTCCATTTTGCGCGAATTTGGAAACGTCAACTCGAAATGCAAAAATTTGTCACCACGAGGAATCGAACTAGGGACCCCTTTTCTGGTATTCAGAGGGCCGTTCAGGAAAAATGAACCATGCTTCTGTGGTCCCCATATGTGCCCCAATGTCATGCAAGAAACCATTTTGAAAAAGCTTGGCAAACAAATGATGAGGAATGAGGTAGGAGGAGCGTCCGAATGCAAATGTCCCAACTTCGTTGCAGTCATCACTGGCAAACGATCAAGGGAGCGAGGTGTTGATGGTGTGACAGACAGGTAATGAGCGTCAACTATACTGATAAAAGCGGCGACAACTGAGTGCGCGCTCATTTGAATTGAACAAGGTTCTTAGCACGTGGATATGACCTTTTACCCAAAAAGCGAAGGAACTTGAGCCGATAAACTATCCGGACTGGCCAGATGAATTTCCATCCGCTAAATAATCCGAGCTCGATATCAATGCTAAATGTTTACGAAGTCATGATAAGTACCAGCTTCATTCCGCATGCTACTGCGCGCATTACGCGACAATCTTCAGCGAAATTGGACAACCTTTGAAATCATGTGACGCATCTTCCAAACATCTTACTATTAGTTTCTCAGCCACGTGACCTAATATTCTGCGAGTTGTCCAGTCTCACTGAATCCCACATGTGATGCGCGCAGTCGCGTGCGGAGCTAAACGGGTCGATAAATAATGCCGTATCGCTGAGTTGTTGAATAATACTTCGATGAAGATGATTATACTATATGCAAGGATCGTAGTCATCGGTTATACCGATAGCATCGAGAGACCGCAAGCATTTTTCTGCGACGTCGTCCTCATTCTCGAAGACTGCGACCTTATTGATGACTTCTGTGCTCTGCAAAGGCCCGAGAGAAAAACCGAATTGCCAAAGACGATTGTTTCGAACGAGTATGACACAGGACCGTGCCGGCGGGCAGGGAAACGGGACAGGCCTGAGACCTCCGTTTTCAAGCGATCACCAAACACAACGTAACCCCTGCGGCTATTAATAATTTGGAAAAAAAACAAAGGGAAATCTGAGAGGTCTGCTGCGCTTATTGCCATGAAACTTTGCTGCACTATGGAGTCGAGATATAGGGTGAATTCCTCGAGTTGTGCGGAGTGACAGTTGAGAGCTTTATCCTTGAGCGTACGCGTTGCGAGTTCACGTGCCGAAGTATTAGGTTGTCCCATAATTAGTGAATCACTTTACATTTATTGTTATTAAAAATCCAAGAAAAATGGTGAAGGCGTGAAACATGTTTTGCGAAGTAGCACCACATTATCCTACCTGAGCAATTACTCAGCCCATTTACATGCTGCCTTCCGTGGCTGATATTTCAATTTTTCTGGAACCTATTTTTGAGCTCCCTTCTTAATCACTTCTGATTAGGATCTTTCAAACGCCCAACAACATAGAGAATCAACCAGCAGATAGGCGAGGGCACGCTCCCTCAATCCACGGTCTGCTTGTAATTCACT